AAAGCTGCGGGGTTTTTTTGGGTGCTTTTACTTGGTTTTAGGCTGTCGCGGTGTTTGTGCATCTCAGAAAGCCTTTTTTCCCGTAGTCGCTTAACCTCCTCCCAGCCCCGCTTACACTACGGGCCGAGCTGCGTCACGTAAGGCAGTAAAAAGACTAAATCATGGATCCACCCTTCAGTAACACCGGGGCACGTAGGCCGCCAGCAGCTCTGCTTGCCCTTACCGGATGTTTCACTTGAAGCCCTGCTGGGAGAAGTTCCTGCAGCAGCACAAGGTTTAACCTCCATCGCCTGGGCCAGTGCAGTTATTTGGGCAAGCCCTTGCAAGCATGATCAAGCCTACAGCGCTGAGGCAGGACAGCCTCTCTGTTTCTAAGACGAGAGCTGAAAATGAAGACAAATGTTAATGAACTGGCTCCATCAATAGCGCATCCATCAGGTGGACAGTTTCTGCTGAAATCTGTTACTGTAACAGCGTGTTATGGAATCACAGAATCATAGAATCGTTTAGGTTGGAAAAGACCTTTAAGATCATCAAGTCCAACTGTTAACCTAACACTGCCATCCCGCCACTAAACCATGTCCCTAAGCACCTCATCTTCCCTCCAGGGATAGGGACCTGACCACTTCCCCAGGCAGCCCGTTCTAAGGCTCGGCAACTCCTTCTGTGAAGAAATTTTTCCTGATGTCCAACCTAAACCTGCCCTGGTGCAACTTGGAGCCATTTCCCCTCATCCTATCGCCCATTACCTGGGAGAAGAGACCAGCACCCACCTCGCTGCACCCTCCTGTCAGGCAGTTGTAGAGGGCGGTAAGGTCTCCCCTCAGTCTCCTCTTCTCCAGGCTAAACAACCCCAGTTCCCTCAGCTGCTCCTCGTAGGACTTGTGCTCCAGTTACTGATAAACTACTAATAATGTAAAAAGAACATTGCTCGAGACCTTCTCCGCTGCTTTTATCACAAAGTGCAAAAACAACGGCACGTAGTAGCACAGGGACCACATCTACTCTGTGAGCATTTCTGAGGGAATTAGGAAGTGTTTGTGTTCAACGAGGCTGTCAAGCCACATAGAAAAGCTGAACCTCCAGCCTGCCAAGGGATCCTTGCCGTTGTGCCTGCCTCCAGCCACATTATTTTTTACTTACGGAGAATTACTCTTCTTATTTAGTGAAATAAGCCATTTCAATAGTCTGACATAGCATTTAACTAGAGGCATAACTAGCGATTTTTCATTTAATCTTTGAGATCAAATTTGGCCCAGCTGCACTGCTGGCTTTCCAGCCTCTTTTAAGTTCCTTTATCACGTGGCTACTACCCGTAAAACCACTGTGTGCTCATGCTCATGGGCAGCTTCCAGTCAACAGGTTATGTCAAGTCTCTTTCAGATGGAAGGACTTGTGTGCTCACCTTGTATGCCATTGAACATACAGGTACCCTAGTAACAGGGATGACCTACCTCTATGAATTTGGCCTCAAGAATTGCCAGGACATGATGAGGCCCATAATCCTGAAATCACCCTTTCCCAAATTTTTGAAAGACAGGCATCCATCGTGAAGATGGTGTCAGTTTACGGGCCTTGCAATCCAGCATTCAAAGCTATGCAAAAGGAGCAGCCACTTTGGAAAGATTATATAGATCCTTTCTGCACGTTGCTTCTGTTCTACATGCTTTGGACATTGTGAAAGTCTTACCAAGGCGTTGCCGGCGGTGTCTGACATTCATTGCATATATCACGTATTTCACACTTCACAACTACCATTTTGGGCTTCTGAGCCCAGTTGTCAACACCGCTGCATTGATCTGACTCAAATCCTGCTTTCAAGAGTTCCCCTGTAATGACAGCAGGTAAAATTACCTCCACGTTCCCCTATGAAAGCTGAGAACAAGTACAGGGCTGGTCCTTCCCCCAAGCCCTTACCTGCATCCCACTGGAAGCGTCCTGGGAAATACAACATTAAGTAAGCAGCAATCAAAAAAAGGTGCAAAGAATATTCCCGATGTTTATTATGTATTAAAAATACCGCAAATAAGCCATACAGTTCATTTCACAGTAACCTAAACAACATTGTTCAAGAACTTGAGAAGTCAACGAAGAACAGTGCAGTTCCAACAGTGACAACAGTTACCTTAATGCTGTGGGTCCCTCTTTCTTTGCCAGCAATTCTTTCCTGTTTACAGTGGGAACAACACTAGATATGGTTCAGTATCTTATTTACCAAGGAGAACTCCTTTTCACCTGCGCTGCTCCCACAAGCACACCACTTCTAGGAGGTGCTGTTTCTAGGAACTCTTCTAGCATAGCCACGGATCTGGCTAGCACAGGCTGAGGTGGGCATGATGCGCACGGCTGATTTCCAAGGTGTCTGTGTGCAGACCCCTTTACCAAATCTTGGGATAAAGTTCGTAAACTTGAAAAGGAGGGATATTAGAAATCCTTTCCAAAAAGACAGAAAACCAAGAAAGCTCCTTGAGAAAGTGGTTTTTAAATAAACATCTAGAGAATTATGACACTTTTTCCTCACTCTCAGCCAGTTCCTAGAAGGATCCTTTGCTACCAGTGCCCCAGGCAGACACCTGGTGACAACAACAGTGACAAGAATCAGGCAGCAAGTCCCAAACACGTAACAACAGTTCAGGTCACCGTCAGCTGTGTGAAACTTGGAAATGTATACACCTTAGAAGCAATTCTGCTGATTTCATGGTGAATTTCCCCCTTGTGTGTTTTGGAGTGTACTATTATCTTTAGCATGCTTGCTACACATGGAACACGAGAGGTGCAATTTTAGTCCTTCTCTTTCCTTACTGAAATCCGCAATAATTTTTACAGAAAATCCTGTATCGCACGCAAATTAGGCTTTTCCAGGAAAGACACAGCCTCTTCATGTAAACAACCCAAAAATACGACAAAAACAATACTGTACCCTCTTGAAACTAATCCCGTCATTCAGATGTGCCTTCTAAGTACTGGTCTTCTACACCAGCAGCTGAAGATGCTGGCAAAGAAGCCTACAATCACAATGCTTCTTCCCAGCCACCTGGTGGAACACCTCTCCTAGGTCTTAGGCCCAAGCAATGCCACCTACCTCAAAAACCTTCCTTTCGGGGGGGTTCAGGTAACCCCTTGTTAGCTCCTTGGTACAGATTAAGGACTCACAGAAATACACTACAGCTCAACTGACACCTGGTGAACTGGCCACATGGCTGAGTTGCAAACTACAGAAAAGGATGAGTTGCTTCAAACCTGGTCCACACTTAGGTTTACCGGTCTAAACAGTTTAAGACAGGGGTTTAGTTTTGTTCATTTGTTTCTTACACCAAAACATACCAGTAAAATTCTCAGCGTGTACAGCAATATGCTTTTCGTACCAGAACAGCTGTAGCCCTTCTGTGTGGGATATCTAGTGCCATCTATGTGAAACATCTTCATGCCATTAAATATGTGCCTGTGCTAATGAGGCTGTAGTGCTTTAGTTATACCACTGCAGCTACAGCGGTACAACTTTATAGAGAGGATGAGCCCTTAGAAACTCAACCCCCAACTAAACTCAGGCTTTCTTAAAATTAAAAAACAAAACAAAAAAACACTACCCAAAAGAGAAATAAAGGAAATAAGCAGAACTGTCTCTATTATTAAAGTATTCTTATTCTCTTTGGAGGTATCAAATTGCTTTTAAAAAGAGTAAAAAAACTGGGCATACAAAAGCTATTCTCCTTAATCCATTATTTGCACAAGGAGCATTGCTGCCTAAACTTTTTCATGTATTTTTTCTACTTTCACAAACAACCTTTCCAGATCATTCCTCAGGTCATCTACTGAGCTCATCACAGACTCCAAGTTGTTCTCGTTATTTTCAATTTTCACTGAGTAGGAGACTAAACTATCCACTGCAGTTCTTATCATTTTCAAATCGGAATCAACCTGGCTGACAAAAGATCTCAGTTCATCTACAGAGCCTTCCACAGAAGAAAATTTTTCAAGATAGCTTTGAGAATCTGGTTGACCTGTCTGAAGACTTCCTTGATCCAACAAAGTACTAATTTGCTTCTGGACATCCTGAAGAGCACCGGAGGATGGCAGGTCACTGATGCTTCTCCTCAAGTCTTCCATGTCGCTGTACAGTGAGGTCTGTGATTCACCAAGATGTTTCAGAACATCTGTGACTGAAGTTACATCCAGCTCTGAGATTCCCTGAAGAGCAGTAATGCTTTGTTCTAGGGTACTGAGCTTATTCTCGTGTTCTGCCTCCTTAGAAAGGAAAGATTGCAACTTTTCACTGTTCTGAGCAGCAACAGAATTCAGAGACTCCAAGCTGTCTTCTATGTGTCTCAGTCGAGACTCCAGTCCTTCACTGTTCTTCCCAAAAGTTTCTAATGCTTTTCTGAGGACTTCATTTTCTTCCCATTTGTTGAGGTCAGCTTTAACTTGCAGTATATCTTCACCGAGTCTTTTAATGTCATCAGGGAGCTGCATAATAGAATCCTCAGCTCTCAGAACTTTCTCTTGTAAAGCTTTTAATGAAAGGTGTTCAGTGTCCGCAGCCTCTTTGAATTTCTCATGTTCTTGTTTGAGGTTGACTAGCTCCTTCACTTCAGTATACACATCAGACTCCATGGAGTCTATTGTACTCTTCAAGGTCTCTATATCCTTTTCTTTGGTTTTCATGGATGCTTGCATCTCATCAAAAGCATCTTTTAGCACCTTAATTTCATGTTTATACACATCTGCCTCTCCTAGTGAATCAACCTTTGCTTTCATACTGCTGATTTCATCTTGGCTCCTTTGCTGGACTTCAGTGAACACAGCAATGTTATCATTTATAGACTTGGTTAGCTCTGTCAGTCTCTCTTCCACTGTGTTTTCCAGAGATGTGAAGTCTCGTTCCCTTGCATCCTTCACCATGTGGATGCCGTCAGACAAGTCTTTCAAAATTTCATTTTGCAGCTTCTGAAGCACTTCACTGATCCGGTTTATTTCATTCTCCCCTTGTTTAACAGCCTTCTCGGTAACCTCCTGCTTCTGCTGAGCAATTTTCATCATAGATTCAAATTCTCCAAATGTGGCTTGAAGGGAACGCACCTAAAACAGAAATGCACGTGGTTAATACTTGCAATTTCATCCTTACCTGCATCCTTACCCTTTGTGTCCAAGATCCTTATGACCCTTGTTACCATATGAAATTATCACCTTGCAATCCTTCACGCTCCCCACCTGAGGTGACCCTATGGCATACAGATACGGGAGGCACAAGAAGCCCAGCATCTAGAGCCCTACATCTCTGTAGATACACACATCTTCTGCTGAGGACCCTTGGCCTCACTGACCTGTCACAGGTGATCCAGGAAATCCGTCACAGTGAAAATCAAACTCAAGTCTCCTGAGTTTGCATCCGGACTGCTGAGCCATCCCTTGCCTGTATGATTTCTGGTTCTATGGGCCACAAGTCCACAAGGGAAGAAAGGGAGGAGGGGAAAGAACCCTAAAGAACATCTGGCATCAGCTTCTGAATACAGGAAAGCTGGGATTAGACTTTAGCAGGCAATCAGACCCACGGCCAATTCCTGAACAGGAAAGAAGTTTCAAAGCAGACAAGAAAGAGTAACGGGAAAAATAAGGGGAACAGGGGAGCTGGGAATGGCTGGGGAATGGGAGTAGTAATCATGATGTTTTGCTGTTCCTAGACACCAATGGAGACACAGATTTTTCTTGTTAACTATTTTTTAAGATTAAAACAAAACCACAGAAAGGCTTTGATGTTCTAAATACTTAGTAACCCATTATTCACACACATGCATACACCCACATGCTCTTAGTGAACGGGGGCACATGGATGGACACAGGCAGAGAACAAAGCCGTAGCAGCTGCCAAGTGGACTGACTCGCATCTACCTCAGGTTAATGCAGAAAGTTGTTACCGCCGGATCAGGCACGCTATTAAGCTCCCCAATTACAAAAACTACAGTTGGTTTCAGTAGCAGCAAGAGGGAAGAGGTCAAGGGGTGAGCGGCCACCACATTCATTTACTCTCACATCTAAAGGTAAGATCCAGGCACACCAATGGGGAAGCACACGTTGCTTAGTTTTGAGGCGAAGACTGTGGAGAAATCTTTTTGTGCGTGTGTGGGTTGTATTTTTTTAAACTTTGTAAAGCAATGTAAGAACTGCTGGCTGCATTAATAATCCATCGTGTAGAAAATACCTCAAGGCGTTGGCAGGATGGCAAGTGCCAAGTAACGCACGTCGCCTTGCCTCATGCTACTCCCTATGTCTGAGGGGTATATTAATCAGTCATGCCACATGGGCTACCATGTTTACTGATTAGATACACAGCCGAGGGGTGGTTTTATTTTGTAAATAGAAGGAAGCATATTTTATATGTTCTTAGAAAGAAATCTACAGAGTTTCCTTTTTTTTTTTTTTTTTCCTTTTTCACTGAAGGAGGCTCCAGCAGTTCCCAGTCAGCCTCTGAACCTAGAATTTAATCTCGAAAGACCTAACAGACTTACTAATTAGAAATTAAGTTATTCACACGTATTTTTCCAAGACTAAATCCCAGGCCAAATCCTCCTTGGTTTTCATGGAAGTTTGCACTATGGAAGGATTTTAGAGTTTGGCCACAAGCTTGCCCTTGCTCCAACAGATCCTCGCAGTTTGAAGAATACCCATAAAGATGACTTCCTTTTCCTCCCTCTTATGTAAAAAGGTTTGTAATGACTTGCCATTCCCTGTACTTGTATTCTCTAGCGCTCACATACGAAACTAGAAATGAAATTACGTATGAACTATGTATTGCAGCAGGACACCAGCCATTACACTGATTTACCAACCTCATTTTCATTACGTCTTAGCTGTCATTCATTCTGATTTTTTCCACATAGACAGCTTTTTTTGTATCACTATAAATGGACTTCAGAAATCTAGGAGGAAAGAGCAGAAAAGTTCTCCTCTTCCTCTTATGACAGAAATTATTTTTCTTTGACACATTCCAACCAAATCACCAAATTCATATTTGCACTTAACCACCTTCATATGTTACTCTAAGAAAAGGCATCAGAAACGCCCAGAAGTCTCCTGAGGGCCAGGAGGTCTCCACTGCTGTAGGTTTGACAGAGAGGGATCCCACCCCTCCGCCGTGGAAATACTTTATACCACTGCATTTGGGCAATGCTCATGGTGTAACTTGAAGATCTTCCCCTATACTTCCACCTGGGCCAGCCATCTGAAGATCAGAGAGCTCTGATATAATAAAATGGACCGAGGTCTTCAGATTAGACCAGATTCTAAGCTGATCTGTCCTAACCAAGAGCCAGCAGGGGCCAAATTAAACCCCTTGCACAAGAGGGGTAAAACTCACAACTTCAAAGTAATGGTTCGTATTCACCACGTAGTTGGTTTGTGTCTGCACCTACACGTGAGTTTGCCTGTTTGGTGTTTGTGGCTGGTAAGGTTTGAAACCGTAGCCCTTGAAAGGTTTAACATCATAAATAGCACATAAAAATACATATATAGCTGACAACTAAGTCTTCTCTAACCAGTCATACTATCTTGTGTTCAAACACGAAATGACCTTGGCCTCTCTGAGAATTCTGCTACATTAAAGACTAAACTTCCACATCATTTCCTTTCTCCTCCTACTGCTGATGTGTAAAGCAGATGAGTTTATGTAATGCTTACTCCCGACAGGAGCTCTCTGCAGTAAAAGACTGAAGGAGAAAGCCAGCTCCCGACAGCAGCCTGTGTCCACGGCACTCCAAAAGTACAATGCAGGACCCTACACTTTTGTAAAGCAATGAAATACAGCCTGGTCTCCCCTCCCTCAAGTACATTCTTCTGTGAAGACAACACCAAACCACAGCAAGCAAAGCTTTCAAGGGTTACATCGAAACTCCACGTAATCTCTTCCCCCGACTTTTATTCTTGCACTACTGTACGGATGTCTAACACTGGCCATCTGCTATATGCAGGCAAATAGTTTCAGTTCTCTTTGAAACAAACTATTTATAAATTTCTGATATATACCTCTCTCCTAGAACACCTAGCATGTACCTAGGATTTTCTGCAACAACTTGGAGATGGAGGCAGCAAATTGGTACCCGTTCCTATGCTTGGAAGGGCTTATATATTGCACATACATCTGCGTTCTATACTCATGTGTTGCAATCATACATCCTGTATGTCCTGCCATTGCAATGTCTTCCTTCATACAAAGAGTCTGTAAAAACGCATTAAAAACTATGAAAAAACAACCACACTTGCGAGTTCAAATCACAGCCCATTCATCAGTGAGTAAAAACCCCAGAATTTAAAATTAGCTTTGGAAACGACACTATAGCTCTGCATTTTACAACCCTTCCCTCCCCCCGCCCCCACATGAGTCTGCCTTTTCCTCCTTCTTGTAAGGGAGAGGAAACACCAAGACTGACCCTACAAACTCCACGTGTGCAGGCCACCGCCGCGCTGCCGGGAACGCCTCAGAATGGCCGGAGGATCCCTGCCAGCGCCCGTCCCACCGCCCTGTCCCCCTGCCACCGGCCAGGGCCCACACTCGCAGGGAACTCGGGGAATCTGCACGGCGCACTGTGCAGAAAGCAGTCAAGCCGAGACAAGAATTTCCTTTTCTTTGATCTGACTCAGACATAACTTTACATACTGCTTTCCAACCGATTTACCTACTCCCTAGACAGAAGCCCGACTGTATGTTGACGACATGCCTTCACATACGCCATTTTTTTAAAGGCTTTAGGCACCCTAAGGCGTATCTGGACGGACAGTGCTGTTTGTGAAACTCTAGCTCGGGGGCTAATAAGGCCCCAAGTGAAAAAAAATCAGGAGAAAAATGAGCATTTCTTTCACTTTGTTTGAGCCACACCCTTTGCCAAGAACTTTGCAGCTCTTCCGCCGTCCTGGACTGCCACAGACATCGCCAGTCTCGCTCCCCGGGCTGGCGGCAGCGGCAAGAACGTGGGAGGCAGGGGACGGCAGGGGGGGAAAGGGACGGCGGGGGCGGCATTTCTGGCGCAGCCTCTGCTGTTTGGTGAAGCTGGCACAGGTTTTGGTTTCTCGAAGCACGCGGGGACGTCGAGGCAGGATCCTGCCACGTCCCACCGCCCTGCC